CTCCCAGGGGATGTCTGAAACAGAATAACTCACCAGCCACTGTATTGATGCATCTACTGCTCCATACCCATGGCCATTTTTTATTTTGAGACAGGATCTTACTGAGTTACCCAGGTGGAGCTCAAACTTGTGATCCTCCTGTCTGTATCCCACAAAGTGCTGAGATTATAGGTGTGTGCCATCATGCTGGAATATTAATACGTTTTGTGGTTGTTTTGCTTTTTGAGACAGTGTCTCTATGTAGTGTAGTTCAGGCTGTCCTTAAACTCACTCTGTAGCCCAGTCTGGTCTCAAAACTCATAATGGTCCTCCTGCCTCAGCCTCCCAAGGGCTGAGATTATAGGTGTGTACCACCATACCCAGCCCCAAATAGCATGCTTCTGAGGCATGTGGAGTATGCATTATTTTGTTCTGGAGTTGATAGTGAAGCATGTTAAAAAGATAATTTTGCTGAAAGAATTCATGATGACCAGATCAAACACTCATCACAGTATTCCCAACTCATGGGAAAGAAATGGTCAGAAAAATTAGAAGGGTATGGTAGCATAGGCCTATAATCCCAGCTACTTGGGAGCCTGAGGTAGGAGATATCAAAAGCTTGAGTCCAGTGTGGGCAATTTATAAAGCCCCTGTTTCAACAGTAAAAATAAAAAGCGATGTAGGTGTAGCTTAGCACTCAAATGCATTCCTACCATGTGTGAGACACTGGATTCAAGCCATGATATGGCAAAAAAAATATTTTTTTTGGTACCAGGAATTGAACTCAGGACCTTGCGCTTTCCAGGTAGGCACTTGTGCATAGTGAGACCTTATCTCAAACAAAACAAAACAAAAAAACTGGTTATTCATAATATCCTTCAGGCGGTATTTTGCAGAAAATATTTGAATTTAGCATTTTATTTATTTATGTATTTACTTATTTTCCTTTTTGAGACAGGGTCTCGCTGTGCAGTTCAGAATGGCCTTGATCTCACTTTGTAGCCCAAGCTCCCCTTGAACTCACAGTGATCTTCCTGCCTCAGCCTCCTAAGGTCTGGGATTACAATCATGTGCCACCATACCCTGCTGATCTAATCACTTTTTATTGATCTTTTTACTAATAAAATTAATAAAAAGTCTATAAATGGACTCTACCAAGAAAAGAACAACAAAAGAATAGTAAAAGAAAAATTTACCACTGAGCTGAATAACAATCTAGCTTTAAAATAACAGTGACTTTTTGCCAGGCGTGGAGGTGCATACCTGTAATCCTAGCACTTGAGAGGCTAAGGCAGGAGGATCGCTGCAAGTTTGTGGCCAGCTTGAACTACACAGAAAGACCTTGTCTACAAAAAAAAACAAAACATTGACTTTTTTTGTGTCCTACCAGGAATCAAACTCATAACCCTGTGCTTGCCAGGCAGGAGCTCTGCTGCTGAGCTATATCCCCAGCCCAACAATGACTTTTTGTTGTAGCATCTTACATTAACAAAAGAGCATAACCAAAGAGCATAACAACACCAGACCATCGAATTCAAATCAGAGCCTCCTGGAAGCAAGACATATGAATCACAGCCTCATTGTGAACGTGTTAATGATAGAAAGTAATTTATCATTTAAGTGAAAGTCCAGTTTAGCGGAGTATCCTTTGTTTCATTTTACAGTCCTAAGCACACCTCATGTCTGTGTTCCTGCCTCTAGGGCTCAGCCTCCACCCTTCACGAGTGTTCCTCTTCTCCATATTTCCTACTTGTTTGTTTGTTTGTTTGTATGTTTGTTTTGTCTTTTTGAGACAGGGTCTCGCTATGCAGTTCAGGCTGGCTTTGAGCTCACTTTATAGCCCAGGCTGGCCTCAAACTTGCAACAATCCTCCTGCCTCAGCTTCCTGAGTGCTGGGATTACAAGCTTGTGCCACCCCGCCTGGCCTATTTCCTACTTAAGAGTCAGGAAGAATATGTTCTCCCCAGGAGAGGGGGTATTTGGCTTAGTAGCTTGGAGAGTGGGTGCCTCAGCTCAATGACTGAGCTTGGTACCTATGTGCAGCATGAGGGCACACTTTTCTCCTTAACTACAGACAGGAAGAAAGGCCTTTTGGTTCAGATGCCAAAGGGGCCAGAAGAATAAATTTCTGCTGTGCCTGGGGTCCAGAGCTAATACCCCTGGAATCCCTGAAACTTAGCTTCTGCACCCCGCTTCTCCTTTTTCCAGTTCTCCACTCATATCCCATGGAGGCACTTGGACGTCTTAGAACCAGTCTTTGTTTGTGAGCCTGTATTGTTTCCTTTGTGTAAAACACCCTTCCTTAAACTCTTCATGTTTTGGCACTTCTTCTCTTACCTCTTCTGTCCCAGCCTGGGTCAAGGATCCTTTTGGGTTTCTGAGGCATCCTGAGCAAATTTCTTCATAACCTTTGCCACCTGTGATTAACTCTACCTTTTTTTGTTTTTTGGTACCATGAATCGAACTCATGACCTCACGCTTGCCAGGCAGGCGCTGTGCTGCTGAGTTATATCGCTGGCCACTTAACTCTACCTTCTATGTGTGCGTGTCTTTCATGAGAATATGAGCTTTCTAAAGGCAATGACTTACTCCTTCCTCAGGGTCACCATTGCTTAGGACTGTGCCATTACTCAGTAAATATGTGGTGGACAAATGCTTGGAATGGTGGTACGTGCCTATAATCCCAGCTACTCAGGATCACAGGTTTGAGGCTAGCTCAAGCAACTTAACAAGATCCTGTCTCAATAAAAAAGAGGGGAGAGGTTTGGGGATGTAGCTCAGTAGTAGAGTACCCCTGAGTTCAAGACCCAGTACCAAAAGGGGATAGGCTAAATAAACAGCAGGACTCTGACTGGAGCCTTCATTACCCTTTAACTTTTCATCTGTGCTCCTTAGGGAGCATTCTATACCCCCTCTCCTCTCCCCATATACCCAGATATCACCACACTTCAAGACTAGAAAGATTTTTTAATTTTCATTATCAGTAGAGAAAGGCTATTGGAATTGTCCTAGCCTTGGGCCTGCCCAACCTGCCCTTCCTTATGGCTAGAGTAGGAAGGCCGAAGGGAGGTGAGCAGGAGTCTTTGTTCCATGCCCTTCAGATCTAGGCTCTGCTTTGAGCCTAGGCAGGTGGTTCAGATCAGGCTGCCTCCGCCACACTCCCTTCTGCCCACAACTTCTGAGCCTCCTACAACCATCCTTGCTGGCACCAAAATGCCCAGTCTCTAGCCATTTGTTGTCTGCAGTGCTAGCCTTAGAAAAATAAATAAAAATAACTGTGCTGATTACCCATCTCCCTGCCCGGGCCCATCATTCTAAGAGCTCCAACCTGGACACAGAAGGATAGGATAGTCTATAAGGGAATAAGTGGGTCTGGGCCCCTCCAGGTAGTATGTGGGAAAGGATATTTGAGGGTACCTTGGCTATTACATGCAGGACAAAGGAGAGAGACGTGGACACCACACAAACAGACACCCATCAATTCCTCAGGATGGATATAGCCCCAGCTGTTGCAAGTCCTCTTGTATGAGACTACTAGTGACAGGTTAGGCCAGTGATGGTGAACCTTTTAGAGCTTTCAGTGATACAAACAGCCCACCGTGGCACATGTGCTTTAGGTTCACCACTATTAGGCTAAGCTTGGAAAGAGGAGTCTCTAAACTCATTCCCAAACACCTGCCTAGGTAATACAAGCAGATGTCTCTGGGACAGAGTCAGTTGTGTACCAGAAGGGTGTCTTATGAGCTGGGGTTTCAGCCCCAAAACACCACCTCCCTTAAGTGCTTATCTGCAGATTTCTCTGCTTGGTATTCAGTGCCATCTCTGTTCATGGTGCAGGGGAAGCCTCCAGGAATCTCAGGGACCTGCAGAAAGCTTAGGAGAGGATACTCTTACGCATAGCTTTTTTCCTATGATGAATAGTTTGATCTGGCAACCTTTATAGTCTCCACAGCTGGCCACCATGCCAGATAGCTGACTGCTAAGGGCCTTTGGACTCATGGCTCCTGCCTTTCAGGCTGGCTTGGGACCTAGATATTGGGATGAGTCTGAATACTGAGGTCCAGTCTTAGCCCTGGACCTCTCCTGGTGTCACAGTGAAACTGGTACCCCAAACCATGGCCTTCGGGGGACTTGGTAGCCAACTTCCTGCTGGGAAGCAAGGAGCTTCACTCTGTACTACCCCACGTGGGCTCTCTCTGCAGGTACCTGAAGGAGTTCCGTACAGAACAGTGCCCACTCTTTGTGCAACACAAATGCACACAGCATCGGCCCTACACCTGCTTCCACTGGCACTTTGTGAATCAGCGTCGCCGCCGGTCCATCCGCCGTCGGGACGGCACCTTCAACTACAGTCCTGACGTCTACTGCACCAAGTACGACGAGGCTACAGGCCTCTGCCCGGAGGGAGACGAGTGAGTGCCCATCCTGCTCTCAGGAGTCCCAGGCTCCTGGGTCAGGCACACTCCAGGAAACTAGCTGGAGGGTGCTCTGGGGAGGACTGGCTGTAGCCCAGCCCATCTTCCTATTGGCTCAAATCTCACCATCTTGAATATGCAACCTTACGTGTGTATGGGAGTCCATTTTCTTTTCCCTACTTTAAGGAATCCCAAAACAGGCCTTAGTTGTGCTAAGAGACCAAATATAGACCGGGGTATCTCCCTGGGGCTTCTTTCATCCTCTCTAAAAGGAGATGAGCAGCAGGTGAGAAAGCAAAGCTTCATCTGTATTTACCACCCCTTTCCATCACTCATTACCATCCGAGCTCTGCCTCTGGTCAGACCAGCAGTAGCATTAGATTCTCATAGGAACATGAACCCTTCTTTGGACTGCACATGCAAGGGATCCAGGTTGGGTGCTCCTTATGAGATCTAATGTCCAGTCACCTGAAGTGGAGCTGAGGGGGTAATGCTAACTCTGAGGAATGTAATTATTATGTATCTCAAACATACACTAATAAAAAAAACAACAGCACTGTAACACACAGGTGTCTGTGGAAAAATGGTCTTCCACAAAACTGGTCCCTGATGCCAAAAAACGATTAGGGACCATTAGTTTAAAGGGACTGAGCCTCCCCAGATCCCTCATTTGCTGATTTTTTTTTTCTGCAAATTTCTGCAGAGAAAATGTACAACAGAAGTGGCAAACCTGGCAACATCTCTAAGAGGAAATGTTTTTTAGCCCTGCTTGTCGTTTGTTTCAACCTTGTGGAGGGGTGATGGGAGGCACTACGGAGGTATAGCATGCCAACACATCCCTACACCAGCTCCTCCTCACAGATCAGAGGCTTGCTTATCCCTCCCCCTGGCCTGCTGAAGAACTCAGCGCATGAGGAGCTGTGTTGAAGTTTGGTGGGTGTTGCTTGCTTCTCTGAGGACCCCCAATCTGTGCAGAATTGTCCCATCCAGATGCTTCTCTGGAGCAACCCTATAGGCAGTACAGGAATGCCAGGCCTGGGGGCCACAGCATGCCAGGGCAGAGCCACTGCCCAGAGGACTCATCACTGCTTTCCTTGATCACTGTATCCTCAGTGACAGCCCAAGGTCATGGTGACAGCCCATTAACAGTTGGGAAGGACAGGGTTGAGGGAGATATCCCAGACCGCAGGGGGCAAAGTTGAGTGACCTCCATTGCCATGTTGCAGGTGCCCATTTCTGCACAGGACCACAGGGGACACTGAACGCAGGTATCACCTTCGTTACTATAAAACTGGAATCTGCATCCACGAGACTGACTCAAAAGGCAACTGTACCAAAAACGGCCTGCACTGCGCTTTTGCTCACGGACCCCATGACCTCCGCTCCCCTGTCTACGACATCAGGTGGGCTGGGTGCTGGGCTGGGGCAGGGTTCTGGAGGCTGCTGCTGTTAGCTGCAGTGAAGGATGGCACTGTTTCTGCACTCTCATGCCTCCTCCTCCACCCTCTGTCCTGTCCTGTTCTTCCAGGGAGCTCCAGGCCATGGAAGCCTTACAGAATGGCCAGACCACAGTAGAGAGCAGCATAGAGGGCCAGTCGGCTGGGGCTGCGAGCCATGCCATGATAGAAAAAATCCTCAGTGAGGAGCCTCGGTGGCAAGGTACAGTTGGCCACAAAAATGGCCATGCCTCCTCCAGTTGGATGTCCGCCCTCTCCCTGTCCTGCCCATAGCTGCCCTAAGGAATTGACTCACAACCACCTACTGCTTTCTCCGACTGAAAGCACCATCCAGGAGACGCCCAGCCCCTCATCTCACTTTATACCATCATTGAAAAGGCACTTGTAGAGGAGATTTTCCAGATACACTATGTTCCCAAGATCCCTCCAGCTTTCACATGTGTACACTTGTGCACTTATATTAGTACACATGCTTGTGTTCTCCATGCTCATGGTACCCTTTAGCCCTGGGAACTATATCTCCAGTGAGGGGCAGCATCCTACCCTGGGCTGTTAGCTGTTGCTTTGGCCTCCCTAGCATGCCGACGGCCTGTGAGGAAAGGGCCCTGCTCCTGGCTTTCATGGGAACCTCAACTCCAGAACCCCTTCCCAGTGGCTTCTCCTTCCCTTCCTTTCACTCTACTCCTACTGTCCTTGGGGTCCTCCACGTCTGCTCCCTGATGGGTGCTTTCTGGCCCCCTGTGCAGAAACCGCTTATGTGCTGGGGAACTATAAGACGGAGCCGTGCAAGAAGCCCCCACGGCTGTGCCGCCAGGGCTATGCCTGTCCCTACTACCACAACAGCAAGGACCGGCGGCGGAGCCCCCGGAAGCACAAATACAGGTCCTTTGGCACCAGGAGGCCAGTGATGGGAGGGAGGAATGGCAGGGAAGGGATCATGGCTGAGGCTGCTCCCACCATGGCTCTCAGGGAGATGGGGAGGCCAACCCTGGGGATTATGGGGTCACAGGACCCAGGTGCAAGGGGAGGGACCAGTAAGGATGGCTGAGTGCTGGGAACATGGTCCAATTCTTGCATGAATGAGGACCCTGACCAGACACACTTAGAGGCCCATTCAGTTCTGATCCTGTAGGGTGTGTGCTGGAGCAGGGCCAGGCTGTGTTGTGGGAAGTTTAGTTGTGGCTGTGCTTAACTCCATGGGCTGGTTTGGGCTCATTGCCAGGATAAGGGGAGCAAAAACGGTATCTTTCATGGTGATGCAGCCTGGCAGAGCCAGAGGAACAGTCCAGCTCTGGCCCTAGTAAGGTCCTCACTCTGCAGCTAGTCTTTTGTATTTTGGTCCATTCCCGTGTGAGCCAGGGAAACCAGAGAAGGGCCCTGAGCAAAGATCCAGGTAATATCCTGTAGGCCATGATGTCACCCTCTCTTGCCTTCAACTGACCATCCCCTCCCCTTTGGGTCAGGTCATCTCCGTGTCCAAACGTCAAACATGGGGATGAGTGGGGAGACCCTGGCAAGTGTGAGAATGGAGATGCCTGCCAGTATTGCCACACCCGCACGGAGCAGCAGTTCCATCCAGAGGTGCGCCCTTCGAGTGGGGGTTAGGTTCCTTAGAGGGGCTGTGGGGTTGTTTAACGTATCCTCTTTGGGAAATGAGAGAGGCAAGGAGGGTACGGGCAGACAATGGTACCATCCTGGAAGAGGGATTCTTGGGGAGTGCCTGGAGGTGCCCTATCCCTCAGTGTTTAGCCTCTTGTTCTGAACCCACAGAACAGCCCTCTGCTTCTAGTTAGTTCCCTAAGCCACCTTACAGGGAGGATATGGGCTGAGCATAGTGGTTTGGCCATTCTGAGCTTTGCACTGCTACTCATGGTACTTAAAATCCAGAGACACCAGGATTTGTTTGCTTCCCTCCCCCCCGCCCCTGGTGGTACAAGGGATCAAACCCAGGGCCAACAGACATGCTAGGTAAGCGCTGTGGCACTGAGTTACACCCCCAAACCAGTACCAGAATTTTAAAAATAAAGCCCCTTCTAGCTGTCCTGTCCTATTACAGAGCCTTTGTCTTGTACAAAATGCAAAGGGCATATATAGCCTCTGTCCCTGGTTCTAGGAAGCCAGGACTCCTGAAAGAAACAGACAGAGACAGTCTCATGTGGATGCAGACAGCAGGGTAGAAAGTTCAATCCAATACAGTTCCCAACCTGAAATTCCCTGGCAAGGTGTGGGTTGGGGGCAGCTGTGTGCTGCTTGGCTGGCTGAATACCCAGAAGGCACACTGGAGGCAGAGCCCCTGCCAAGGCTGTGTATGGAGTAGACCCTCTGGTGAGGGCTGGTTGGGTGTGTGACCCCCAAATGGAGGGCACTGGTGTAGGTGGCAGTGGTAGAGGGCTTCCTCAGGAGTTTTGAGTAAGAAGTAAGTCGGTAGGGGACTGGGGTGTAACTCAGTGATAGAGCACTTGCCTACTGTGAATGTGACCCTAGGTTTGATCCCAATACTGGAAAAAAAAAAAAAAGATGGTAGCCAACACTGGAAAAAAAAAGGATTACAGCTGTGGTGGCACTCGCCTGTAATCCCAACACTCAGGAGGCTGAGGCAGGAGGATTGTTGTGAGTTTGGGACCAGCCTGGGCTACATAGCAAAACCCTGTCTCAAAAAGATAGAAAAAAAGAAAAGGTTGGGAGGTTGGTAGACAGAAACTTAGGGAAGTACAGTGGAAGCTGTGGATCAGGGAGAAAGGCCTGGCTCATCCTTCATAAAGGAAGAGGAGCCTGACCGTCTCTGCTCTTTGCCTCTTCCAGATCTACAAATCCACCAAGTGCAACGACATGCAACAGTCAGGCAGCTGTCCCCGAGGACCCTTCTGCGCCTTCGCCCACGTAGAACGTAAGCTGTTTCCATTGGCTTGGGGCAGTGCCCTTCTCTCCCCAGCCTGTGCTGAGGCTTAAGCTGGGGAATGGCCCTTGGCAGCACACCACACATGGGAGTCCTTGTCTGCTAACAGTGGGCCTTGTCCGGCCAAAAGTTCCATTCTCTTTGCTTCTCTGAAACTGGTAGATTTAGCTACCAGGATGTGATGCCCTGGTGTTTCCAAGGTCATGAGATAGACTGCAGGGACTTTCTTCTTGGTTAGGGACTCACGGTCCCAGGCAAGATGAGGGACTGTGCCTTCCATAGCCAACATGGCAAATCCCATCAGCCACCCCCTGTCACCAGTAGCAGATATCACTAAGGCAACATGGAGCTTTTCCCTACTGCACTGCTCAGGCCTTTAGAATAAAACTTTCCAATGTAAATGAAATGTGTGAGCTTAGTCTGATTCCTTCATCAGCACATGCTCCCTCTAGTTGCTCAAGCTGGAGTCCTTTGCTGTTTTTCTTATTTTCCTTCGTGAAGGGCCTGCCTGGCGCTTGTAAGCTCTCCAAGCTACAGCCTCTTACCATTTTCTCTTACTTTCTGATTAAGACTTTCAGAGGGAGAGAAAGATAAAATGCAGTCCCTATACATCATTTAAAAGTTTCTAGTAACATACTAAAAAAGGCTAGACATGGTGGCACACGCCTGTAATCCAAGCACTTGGGAGGCTGAGGCAGGAGGATCACTGTGAGTTTAAGGGCAGCCTGAACTAAATAGTGAGACCCTGTCTTAAAAACAAACAAAAAACAAACTTGCCAGTTATGCTGCCTCTCTCTCTCTCTCTCTCTCTCTCTCTCTCT